AAACCAAATTAATTAGTTTTGATCAAGGATTATCACCCTATTGTGGTTTTAAGTGTTGTTATTTCTAAACATTATGAGATTTAAAGGTTTTAAACATAATAATCCATTTTAAATAAAGTTTATATTATCATTTGTATTACCGTTTTTTAATTTTAATTATCACCAAGATAATGCTATGTTCAATTGATTGAAATATTTAATAAAGTATTCCAATCAATTAAGGCTATATTAAATTTCGGCCTACCTCAAATTAAAATTATTAAAACAGTTTTTAATTATTCCTATTTGATTTAAAAAATGAATAAAATCATTCAAAATTTAAGTGTTTTTATTCATTTTTGATATCTAAAAGGAATATTTAAGGTATTCAAAAAATTTGTAAAAAGTTATGTAGAGTCAGTCGATAAACGTTGTCTTTTTGACAAAAAATAATTGATTTTTGTTTAAAAAACGGGAATAATGTAAAAATGAAAAAACTAGGAAAAATATTGAAACAACAATTTTTTGGTTTTTCAAAAAAATTCCCGAAATATTTAAAATGGTCTAAAAATCGGCAGACAACGTTACAGACCAGACAACGTTTATCAAATGGCTCTATATAATTTTCAGTCTTTTTTAAAACAGTTTAAAATTATTTCAAATTAAAGTTTTAAAGCTCTTGATTTCGTATATTTTCGAATTAATCATATTGGCAAGGTCATTGTTATGTTTTTCCCTTTAAAGAATACATAATTTATTAATTATTTTATCAGATGTAGTTTACTAAATAAATTTAGTTTGAATGGTGTTAATTTTAATTGGATATATCATATTTATTTCATAAATTGTTTTTTCTGTATCATCATTTAAATTAAAATATATCAATGATATAATATCATTGTATTTTATATATTTATAATAAATATTTAAATTATATATATAATATAACTCATTTTAATATATATGTCTATTCAAAAATTAATATTTAAATAAATTCAAAATATATTAATTTGTTATTATTATTATATAAACATAATATTTTTTAGTATATAATATAATATACTATTTACAATAAACTATTACAAGTTGAGAACTTGTTCTTATGGGATTATTTAATAGGATTAATATATGCTTAAAATCGGGATAATTCTACCTTTTCTTTTGATTTTTTATATAATAGGGTGTTTTATTTGGTCGTTTTTCCCGACTAATTAAACTTAATATACGAAATAAAACACTAAATTAAAAATTATATTATTTTTTGATTAAAAAATATTTTATAGTATAATTTTATAGTAACTTAACTATATTTGAATTAATTAATTTGTTAAAATAAAGGAAAATTGATGTTTGAAAAAAAAACAAAAATTTTCTTTTTTTTTGTCAAATAATTTGGTCATAATTTTCTTTTTTTCAATTTAATGCTCATATTTTTAATTTAAGGATGCACTTTTGGCAAATTGTCAGGATTTAACAGGGGACTTGCCTCACCTTGAATGAAAGGCAAAAATCAAATTTGGTAATAATTTTTTTTAAAAAAAATTATTTTTTTTGGCTTTAAACCATTTGAGTGTTAAAGTCGGTATTTTTAAATTAAATTTTTGAGATTTGTTGAAAACTGTTTTAAAGAAACATTTGGATCAAAAAAATAAGTTACATTTAGTGTAAATCGTAAAATGTGGTTTTTTACACAAAAATGTAAAAATCGTACACTTTTTGGTCAAATACCAAATGGATTCTGGATTTGACAATTTTCCACTCAAAGCATTAAAAACAGTGTTTAAACTTGAAAATGACTTAAAATATCATAAAGTCTTCACCAAAACAAATCAATATATAGCCCAAGTTTTGCAAATGTAATGAAATAAATTTAAATTAATTGTTTTTTGTTTTTTTTGTTAAAATGTTATTAAAATGTTATTTTTAATTAAAAAATAATTTGTTATTATTAAAATGTTTTTGTCTTATAACATAATTTCAGTTTTTTTAAATTTTTTGTTATTTCCAAAAATAAAACCAAAATTTACTCAGTTAAATGGGTTTATTCCAAATTAAGTACTTAAATATTGCCACTGTACATATGAGTTTTCTATTTTCTTATCTTTGTTCAATCCCAACTTCTATATTATTAGAATCTATTTTGACTTGGTAGAATTATTCTTATATAATATTTTAGTTAATATTGATTAATTAAAATATTATTTATTATTTTTTTAGTTAATTAAAATGATATATGAAATTTTTTTAATAGTTGATAATTAAAATTTATTATATAAAAAATAAAACTAAATAAAAATCATTTAAATGGTACGTTTGGAGCAAGTCTTTTTAATGAATGTAACTCTGTACATCAACACTATTTCCGCTCTCCAAAACTATATGTTCGTTAATAAAAAGTGTAAAAGTAGTTTGGAATGTCTTCACATCAATCCGTATATCGACATTTCTAAATTTCTCATTGAATTGAGTCCTTCAAAAATATGCATCATTTACAAACAAATTTTTTCGTTTTTTGAAAAGACGATGACAAATATTAAAACCCTGCAATGCCCCGATTATATGATAGAAAACACATACTCTTCTAATATTTTACAACACGTTAAATTTGTTCGTCTTGTCCAAACCAGTCGATTTCCATTGTTCTTCAAACAACACAGTCAAATCAACAGTTTGGCATTCCCAAAGATCACAGATGTGTTTTTGGACAACACAAAGCCATACAACAAGTACCTCTACAAAATGACTAATTTGAAACGTCTTAACGTCATTGAGTGGGACTTCAAATTTGAAAACGTTGCCAAAACAATTTTAAATAAAACGATAACATCAATCGTCTTTTGGCGTTGTGCAATGCCTGAATTCATAGAGAAAATTGCGACAATACCAGAACTCAGAAATTCTCATCACCTTCCGCCAATCAAAATTTGTGCTGTTCTTGAATGTAACATACTATCAATCGAACACAAATCTATAACAAATAAATTGAGGGAGAAACTTGAAAAGGCTGGAATTACTGTGTTGCACTTCACTCCATTTAAAACGTCTGATATCATTGACGGCACATTATTTGTGGGGAACTCGCGATATTCAGGAGAGGTGTTTGTTGTTGAGAAAACGATATTACAATATGACCGAATAAAGAAGTATCACCAAACCGAGAATTACAACGTTAATATTGTCATATTTGATTATGAAAATAACATCAAAAATGAGAAGAAAACACGTGAAGCAAACAATGAAGTTTCAACATATCTCGACTATATAAAGAAAAACAAAATCATTGAAAGAGAATATAATTATAGGATGTTATTAACACTACAGGCACCACTTTATGTGTATGAGAAGTGTGAACAACTGAAAAAGATATTTTTATCAACAAACAACGTTTTAAATGTGTATATTCAGGGTCTCTATAACATCGAAATTATCAGTAAAGTTTGCAACAAAATAGAACTAAGACAATGTGCAAATGTAAATGTTACAACAGACACAACAAATGTAATCAATATGATCGATTGTTATGTTGTTAATTTACATGTCAAGACTTTGTGTATCGAGCTGCGTAGTGAATTTTCAAATCATTTAGAAATTCAAAACAATAAATTGGATGTGCTACATAAGATGAAAATATCTAAAGTGTTTGCGATGCACAACAACAACATCATAATAAATGGAATTGAAAATCATGAGATGCGTTTTTTTGATTGCAAAGATGTTGGTGTTTCACACTCAGTTGTGCAAAATGTCGAGTTCAATGGATGTGATGGAGTCACTTTTTGTGAGCAAAATGAATACAAAGAAACTGAAATTGCACACTTTTTCTTCCCAAAGACATTTAAACACAAAAAGAGTGTTTTTTCGTTGTGCTCAAACTCAAAAATTTTGTGTCTGCTTCAACGAAAAACGATAATTGAGAAATGCGACTTCTCAAACTTTCTCAACACTGAAATTTGTAACAGCAAAGATTTCTTGAAACAGTTCGAAAAATGTGAATTTTTCAATAAAAAGTTGAAAATGTTTTATTTTAAGGAAACAAACAGCATCGGGAATTTCCCGTTTCTTTCAACCAAATTTGATCATTATGACGATTTTCCTTTCGAAATGACAGTTGGCGCGTTGAAATGTTTAAAAATACGGATGCATGATACCTTTGACACGTGTATCACATTTCATGATATTGGCAAAGGAATATATAGACGGACCTCTCACATAGAAAATATCCAAGACGGGGCGTTTCATCTCAGAATTGATTCAGAAAATCAATACTATGGAAAAAAACATATAAATTTTTGTGGAAACGTTCGACAAATAAGTTTAAAAATGAGATTATCACAACAATACGTTAATGCAAAATTTGTGTTTGAATCAATTCCACTGATCGAATATGGTGTTATTATTCTTGAATTTTATGATGAAGACAACCAAAGAATTATCGACATGTCAAAAGCAAAATTTCGAGATATTCGAATCTTGTCACCAAAATGTATGTCTAAGACATATGAAAAGCTAAAATTAGGAAACACCATCAAAAAGGTTGTTTTACAAGATGTTTACTTTGATGATATAGAAGGGGGAGCTATTGGTTGTAAGATAACTGGAACAGCAAATAAGGTACATAATCTGACTAAATTTGTCGACACGAAGAAAGTTGCCATTTTTAGAGAGAAAGTCGTTTTTGTGGTGTGTGAAAAAAGTGTCGAGATTGTTGTTATTGGAAATTGTAAGTACTTAAAAGAAATTACAGTAAACAAAAATACAAAGAAAATTCATGTACAAAATTGCCCACTTTTAAAAAGAATTACTAATCGTAGAATTGGCATGAAAGTGAATATAATAAATTGTCCAGAGTTGGATGTGATGATACAGACAGCTTTGTGTGATTTCGGATTTAACATAACAACAAAATAATTGGTGGCCGGATATCTGATTCCTTTGTGTTTTATTTGGACAATTGATTCCTTGTGATTATTTGGTTATTAACAATACTACAAATCGGGTTTTTATTTTTATATTAGTGTTTTTGATGGACATTTGATTCCCGAATAATACTATCAAAATGAAATAACGAATTGTTATTAAGTTAATTTATATATAAATAATCGGGTTTGATTAACAATTTTGTTTTCTATGGACAATTAATTCCACGTGGATAATAATCATGTTATTAATTTAAAAAAATACAACTGATTTGATATATTTATTGATGTTACCTTGCTATAGATTTCAACAACCATTCATGCCAATATATCCATGCAATTATTCCATTTGTCAACAATATCAACAACAATTACCATTTATGCAACTTTATCCATATCAACCACATTTTTACAATTTACCAAACCAACACATTGGATCAACGGAGCAACATCTTCAGTTAACTAATATTCCACTTACATCATTTACACAAAATGTCACAAATGATATAAATATAAATAATAATCTAAAGTTGTTTACAAACATTAAATCTTTGAATTCAAAAATTTCAGGTAGAAAAATACCAATAATTGATGACTTTGTGTTTCATAGAACTGGACGTTTTTTTAAATTACCAGTTTTAAGATATTATTGTGATGTATCAATTAAAATTGTTGAATTTGATGGTTTAATTAATATTATCGCAAATTTCAAATCTTACATTTTCACTTCATACAATCAAATACATTCACACCCATCTCACGATGCAGAAGCAATAAAAAGAAGCAAAAGAAAGATTAATCGAAACTGCTTCACTAATTGAAAAGCGATTTGTTTCAAGTTTAAAACCACTTGAAGATAAAGATTTTTCTATGTACAGTAAAAGAGAAAGTACAACTTTAAGGGAATTTAGAAGATTAAGACAAAAAAATATTTACCAATTGTGACTTTAAATCACACCCATTATACAATGATTATTTAATTAAGGAAGATCCAGATTTTGCTGTATTTGTAAATAAAAATAAAGTTAACAAAATTAATGATTTTGAATTGTTGTTCATGGATGGTACATTTAGCACTGCACCCAAAAATTTTTATCAAATGTACACTATACACTGTATGTTGAAAAATGGAGAACATTTTACTTTGGTTCATGCTTTACTCGTTGGAAAAACAGAATTATTATACAAAAAATGTTTAATTGTATTAATGATTACTGTAAAAATAACAATGGGTATGTTTTATTCAAAAATGGTGTTGTTGTGATGATTGATTTTGAAAATGCTATTCAAAATGCACTCGAATACTTTGGCTGTATTACAAAGGGGTGCTATTTTCACTTGTGTCAATCTCTTTGGAGAAAAGTCAACACTTTGGGACTTTCGAGCCGTTTTAAAGAAGATCAACAATTTTATAATATTGTTAAATCTCTTATGTGTTTGGCTTTTTTGCCAGTTGAAGATGTTAGTGGCGTTTTCGAGAACATGAAAAAATATTGCACAGATTTGGAGTTACTCAAAGTTTACAACTATTACGAACAAACTTGGCTTGGGAATGTTTTCCAAAAGAAATGTGGAATCAATATTGTTGTAAAACAAGAACAAACAATATATGTGAAAGTTTTCACTCTGTATTTGAAAAACAATTAGAACACAAACATCCAAGTGAAGTTGAATGGCTCGATAAAATTATTAAAATAGAAACAAAAGAAAATAAACAATTTAAAAACATGCTTGATGGAGTGTTTAAAAGAAAAAGATCACAAAATGTATCAAGAAATACACTTATAGAAAATTTAACATATAACTTTACCAACAAATTAATTACAACTCAACAATTTATATCGAAACTTTGCAACATTAATTACTTGTTGAGATCTTTTTATTTTGAAATGGTTCCCCAAAACGAAAACAATATTAATGAATTAATAAAAACACCAATTACACAACCAACGGAATTGGAAGTTGAAAAAGACAATCGTGTTTGTATCGATAATGAAAAATAATTAACATGTGATCGAAGATGTTACAAAAATAGGCATTAAAAATTGTGAAGCATGGATTGTTGCAATGAATCAATGATACCATTGGTTTTAAAAACAAAAGAAAGAATCGATAAATTAAAAATAAAAACTCAAACCGCCATAAAAGAAAAGAAAAATAAAAAACCAAGAAAACGATCAAAACAATACAAGCAAGCAGTTGTTGTTCGTGAAATTATGAGAAAAAACAGAAAAAGCTTAATCAAATCAAAAAAGTAATCATTTTATTTTTATAATCAGTTGTATTTTTTTAAATTAATAACATGATTATTATCCACGTGGAATTAATTGTCCATAGAAAACAAAATTGTTAATCAAACCCGATTATTTATATATAAATTAACTTAATAACAATTCGTTATTTCATTTTGATAGTATTATTCGGGAATCAAATGTCCATCAAAAACACTAATATAAAAATAAAAACCCGATTTGTAGTATTGTTAATAACCAAATAATCACAAGGAATCAATTGTCCAAATAAAACACAAAGGAATCAATTGTCCGGAATCAAATATCCGGCCACCAAAATAATTATGTTGATAATTGTATTCGAGTTTTAACACTTAACTGGCCGAAAACCAAATTTTTATTAGAATAATAACAATATCAAAAAATGCCTTCTTTAAAAAAGTTGTTAAAAAAGACTAAAAACCCCTTCTTGGCCAAAAAACCGAAAAATGACCCAAAACTTAGTCAAAAATAATAAAAATGAGGACTCAATTATTTAAGATTTGTTTTTGAGGTTTAAAATAGCAACACATATTTTAAAAAAACAGTCAAACTTTTCAAAAGCAAGAATGTATGGTAATTTTTGTTTTCTCAAGAACGGTCATTTTAGACAACCAAATTTAATTATCACTTTATAGAGAACTCGATTTATGTTTCACTCTAAATTGCTTTCTATTGAGAAAACACACTTTTCTAAAATGCTATTTTTGTTATATTTTACTATATTTCAGAACCCCAAATTTATTTTATTAAATAATATATCAAACATACAATAACAAATCTTGTCGCATAAACAAGACGTATATTAATAATACGAAAATGAATCATAACAAACTCAATTTAATTTACGTTGATGTTGACTAAATGAACAGCAAGTTGCTTTTTAATTCGATAATATTTTTTATTGAAGATTTAGTTCATGTCATTAAAAATAGTTTTTAAATAAAAAACAAAAAAATAATCTATTATTATTTATATAATATAATAAGATAAATAAATAAAAAATAAAAGAAACAGTTTAGTTAGTTATTTTTTTAGTTATTTAATTAATATAATAAAACAATTGTTTATAAAAGTTTCTACATCCCCAAACATAATTTTTTTTATTTGCAAATTTAAAAAAATTCTATAATATTAGTTTATGTTATTATAATTATACAAAATAATTATTTAATTATGTCGTCATATTCAAAATTATTTTTGTATAAATTCTATCAAATTTCATTTTGAAAACAAAGGCAAAAATCAAATTTGGTAAAGAATTATTTGAAAAGTTGTATTTTTTAGCTTTGGGCCATTTGAGTGTTAAATATCATTGATACTTATAATTATATAATCTCAAGCAACAAAAATTGTTGTTTTTATTGTGATATTGTTAATTTTTAAATTAAAAATAACGCACAACAGACACACCCCATTCGATATAACAATACCACTCACACAGGTTTAACACTTGCCATTATTTTTCCCAGATTATTTTTTACATAAATAATCACATTTTTCGCAAGTCGTTAATCTTGTTGTGTCAAAATTAAAGCCATCTTTCAATGGATCACACTCCAAACTCTTATGTAATAATGAGTCCTTTCTGAGTGGAACTTACTCACATTTGTTTTTAGTGCTCTGTGTTTTAGCACTGCAAATAAAACACGTTGTTGTTGTTGTTGTTGTAATTTTTATACCCGATTCACACGACAATATTCATTTGTCTTATCACAACTCAAACATGTCGAACTGCAACTAGTGTATGTTGTGCTTTCTGCCAATGAGTATTGCATATTAATACATATTACACAACTCCCACAACTTTAATAAGTTTTAGCTAAACACGTGTCACACTTTCCCTTGTTAAAAGCATATTCATCATAGCAAGATAAACAGTTTCCATTTGTTTGGTCACACGTTTTGCAACTTATAGAACACAATGTACACCCACTTGTACTACCATATGAAAAATACAATGAGTAATATATCGAACAGTTTTATTTGACGAATAAAACTGTTCGAATCATACGAATAGCGAACATTACACAAAGCGTACTCCTTTGTTGTTTCTAGACACATTCAGTAACATGTAAAAAGACATCAAACACATGTCGAATTATTAGCGACAGAATAAAACCCATCTGAACGTATTTTTCATTCAAAACTATTAGATAAGTCTTTGTTGATGTAAAAGGATTTCCGTTGCTTTATTTGTACATCTACTCACAAAAAGCTCAAATATCAATATTAACACAATCAAATTTGACAACGTCCATTTAGTCACAACAAGCACACCTCAAACTTTATGTTTTATATCGAACGAGTTGAGTTATCTGAAAGTGTATAAAAGCTGATATGACACAATAGATTTACTCAAATTTAAATTAAAAAACAAAAGAAATATCTTTTTATAAATTTACTTTTAATAATACAAATTGCTTGACATTTCTTACAGTTAACTCAAGTAATAATTGCAATTATTTTGCATATTAAAAGGTTAATTTGTAGGTTTTTTCGATGTTTCAATTCTTTTTCATTAAAGGCAAAAACTTTGTTGTAAATTATGTTAAAATATAAAAAGAGACCGAATACCATTACAATTGGAACAACACAATAATAAATGGAATTGCAAATAAAGAGTTACTTATTAAATCTTTATTAACTCGATGTAATAGAAACAATTACTTTAAAATTACTCCTCAATGGAACAGAGCCTATTTAAAATAAAATGACGCATCTAAATTGTTACAATTGTTAGTAAATGAATCAAAAGATTATCATGAAAAAAGATCAGTTTTTAATATATCAAATATATTTTAAATGGGATATCATAACTTTAATTTTGATAAAATTGCATCCAAAAATTTATCAACTTTACTTTCAAACAGAACACATCATGATCTTAAATATACACATATTGTTTCACTAGATAAAAAAATACACGTGGGTTTGGAGCTTTTCAAAACAAGAATTAATATACTCTTATTTCACTTTCAAAATATATCAAAATCCTTCATTTGAAGTTTTCCCATTAAACTTAATTATTTGACTACATGAATCACTTGAAATGGACGACTGTGCATTGTATGATTTGTTGAATGTACACCCGAAATTTATACCAACAAAATATGCTTGGTTTATAAACAAATACCTCCTTTCTTTCTGTAATATTTAAACCGTTTTTGTCTCACCCTGAGTGGAAAATTTACCAACTAGATGTTTTTGTAATGCAAAAAAATATTGGTATTAGAAGTCAGTTTTGTTAATAAACATTATTTTTATGGATGTACAACTTGAAAGTAATCAACTTTGGAAAAAAAACACGTGTTTTATAAATGTACTATTTTGACAATTTGTTTTCTCAAATTAAAATTGGTTTACCAACAACTCTAACCAAAATTAAAAAATGATTAAAACTGTTGGAAATTGAAAAGTATCAATATTTTAAAAAAATATTGTCAAAATTGGAGAGTTTGCGTTTCAAAATTTTGTAATTTTTTTAACACAAGTAAAAATATCCTTGTTACTAACAACAATTGTTAAGTTGATAAATACAAATTTGGTATCAACACCGATAAAAGACTTTACAGTCGCATTGAGTAGGGTTTTTAAACCACATACTCGATGTGAGATCGGAAGAAAATGAAAAGCAACTTTTGTATTGTAACGACTTTGTTGTAATTTGTGTAAATTCTGCTATACCATTTGAAGTCAAAACTCCTCCTTTTATAACATAAGAATAATTAAAGTTATTTTTTGAAAATTTGTTCAATGTTAAAATACAACCTTTCTACTTTGACTTCACCATAACGCGAAATTTTTTGTTAATTCCAGAATAAACATATAACATTACCTATACTTCATTATATATGTATAACAATTTACCACTACTTGAATAAAAGTTAATCATAATATTATGACATAATATTACTTGTACTTTATTATATGTGTTCAACACTCCATTATTATCTAAATTAAAATTAATCGTATGACAATACTTGTGATGTATTATACACATATAAATATTTAAAATCATTTATTTTTGTTTACGAACTTATAACAAAAGTTGAATAAACATGCAAATTGTTTATCGAATTTTATATTAAATTGTTGTTCATTATAAACAAAGAAGAGTTGTAACAAAATATTTTTTTCGAGATTGTCATAATTACATTTTGATTCAAAACAACTGAAACATTGTCATTAACATAAAAATCACAATAGATGGCTAAAGTCGAGTTGTCTTTAACTCTTCAACTGCTAGATTATGCTAAGTACCAACAAAATAACCAAGTTGTTTGTTGTTTACTTGTTGTTTTTTTCACAAAAAGTGTGCCTTTATGTATCGAACCAATTTAAGCAGTTCGTCAAATTCGCCTTTTGAAAATCCAGTCAAAGTTAGACGTCTTGTGTCGCCAGTTAAGTTTATATGACAGAGTGTTTGTTTCTATCAGATTGATATGGGAAATGTTAATGTTTGAATTGCAGTAAAGTTGAACTGAACACAATCCATTCTTAAAAATATGATGTAGATTCTTGGGTATATGTGTTAGTCGTCACTATATTAACAGCTTCTTGTCTCAAAATTCTCATTGAAACTGTTTGCTCCTGCATTTCATTTATTGACTGAGTTTGAGTGGTTGATCTCACTGTGTAGTGGTTGACTTTATGACAGCTTTTTGATGTCTTTGGTACTTTGTGATGGTCTTGGTGGTTTTCTCTTGTGTGTCTTTATTTGCCTCCTCTCTGTTTTGAACATGACTTGTTAATTTAATGGAATTAGACAAAGGTCTAATGAAAAACAGTGAGTCCCGTTGTGCCTAATTTGTAGTGTTCGTTGTTGTGCAGAACTTTGTTGTGGTTGTACGGGGAGTAGTTGTTGCTACGCATGTGGTTGCGGCCGTTGTTGTGTTCCAACAGTTGTTTCAAACAAGCCATTGTGGTTTCATTGGTTAATTTTGTATTGTGTTTTTATAATTTTGAAACCCTTAAATATGTTAAGGGTTTAACAGAAAAAACAAAAATTTGTTACCCTGTTAAAAAAATGAAAGTATTTTAAATCTAAATTTATTTAAACTCTTTATGGCTCGTTGCTACTGTATTGATTGTGAATTCTTTAATAAAAATTGTTATTTTTTAATATTTTTATTAAAATGTTATAGTATCATTTGATAAATAATATAATTATAAATTTATAATTTGTTTGATAACCTTTACATAAAAAATATTATAATTGTTAATAAAATAGACTAGAAGCACTCGGAGAAATATAGTAAAAATATAGTTTACTAAAAGTAAAATAGACCACTAGCCAGAGTAGTCCTATTTTCAGCCAACTCTCAAATTAGTCGAATTAAAATACAAATAATTAACAGATATATTAAATAAAAGTGTTGATATATAGTACAAATTTTAGTGTTTTTCAAAAATTATGTATAAACTAAAAATAATATTAATAAATTGTTGATTAAAACAAATAAATGATATATAAGATATATAAGTGTTTTAAAACCTAAAATAAGACCAAACAAAATGTTAATAAAATAGTATATAAAAAATAATATGTTTATATTTAACCTAGTGAAATAAATAAAGTGTTATGCAAATATATATGAGGATTGAGTGGTACATGAAATTAACAAATAACATCCATAATAACACTTTATAGAAAAAAGATGGTATATATATGATAAATGAGAATTAATGACGACAAAATAGTTTGTAGTGTTTGATAATTGAAGCTTTTGAAATGTATGATTTTTCAGTTCCATATTTAATTGAAGATGATTTTATGAGCATATGAATAAATAGAGTAGTTTGATAAAAAATGTTGAAATTTATATGAATATATACATTAGATAATTTCTATAAGGCAATTTTTACACTATTGGTATGATTCAAAAACCGAAGAGGACAATTCAGGTGGCTCTTGTGGTCCGGTGGTAAGACGTATCCCTGCCACGGATGAGACCCGGGTTCGATTCCCGGCAAGTGCACGTTTTATACTTTTATATTAACGTATAGCCGATGAAATATTTTCTATGTTATTTCCATATAATAATATTTATACAATAAGACCTCACAAAGACGATTAAATTAATTAAGATATTTTTAAAAGAAAAAACAAAAGATGAAAAACAATACAGATAATAGTAACCCATCATTCAAAAAAGATTATTTTTAATAATATACCAAATTTCTATTATTGTTTGACATTCTGTTATTAATTATACAGTAAAAAACATTTTTTGTGGGTTTTTAAACAGAGAATACGTTTATTTGTGGGTTTATCATGGAATTGTGAAGAATATTCTATTCACCATTTTTTCCATAAAAAATCGGTGTTATAGAAAATATAGTGATTTTTAATTATAATAAAACTATATTATTTATCTAAATGTACTTAAATTCAAGGTTCGAGAACAAAACAATTATTTGTGGGTTATGAATTTGATTGGTCCATTGACCCACAAATATAAAAACCCACAAAAAGATGTTTTTTACTGTAATTTAAAAAAAATTTGATAAAATTCTATTAAATAATATTGTTGAAATTAAATATGAATGACAACTTTCTCATAAATAATTTAAAAAAAACACAATCTTTTACACAATTATTTTTGGCTTTTTTTAACAACTTTGATAATGGCATCTAAAATGATTTTGTTATTTTAAATAATTACATTTATGATAATAATAATTATTGTTTTAAATTTACTTATGGTCGAATTTTGTCTACTTGTGTTGGTATTTTTGAAAGTGATATAATTTTTATAAAATGTACAACATTTTTGATAAAAATGATGAATTAATTAAGAAGTAATAGTAATTTGTTTGAAAAAATATGAGTATTTTTTATAAAAGTGATAAATAATCGTAAAAATGATGATTTATGGTAAATAAATTAATATCACTTCTTAATTAATTCATCATTTTTATCAAAAATGTTGTACATTTTATAAAAATTATATCACTTTCAAAAAATACCAACACAAGTAGACCCAATTCGATAGTAAGTAAATTTAAAATGTTTTAAAAAATAAAAGTTAAGGCCTCTGCGGGAGTCTAACCCACGACCTTTTCCTTACTAGAAAAACGCACTGCCAACTATGCTAAGAGGCCATACAATTATATTTTAAAAAGTTACTTATTCACCATGAATTTAAAACGAACTTTAATTTTCAAAATAATATAAAGATTTAAAACCAAAATAAATTTAAAATAAAAAACTAAAAAACTAAATGACAGAAATCCGTCCGCTCAATGGTTTTGAACTTCCTGTGTATTATGTGTGTTTGACTTTGAGTGACACGTTTAACTAATTTGATACACACAATTTAGAACTGACGTGGTGAAAGAGATAATCAAATACACTCCTTTTCATCTCGCCATAAAAACAAAAGCCGGCCATTTTTATTGGTATAAATTAGACGACAAATGGCTAATAGATAATGTTGATCTTTATATTACAAAAGTTCCATTTGAAGAAACAAAAGAAATTGAAGCGGCTGACTACAATTTGCCACAAGAAGGTGTTCCACTGTTTCACGTTGAATACTCAGAAAATGGCGCAACAAGTCGTTTAAAGTTGTATGCAAACCACTTACTATGCGACAGGCGCACCATTGCAAATTTATATCAAGTTCTCAAAAACACAATTTTAAACGAAATTTATAAAGCCCTTCACGACGACGAACTTCCTCCATTTGACTATAAAAATCTATAAACCATCAATGAAGATGTTTTACACTAAAATCCCGTTTCTTGGGATATCCCACACGTTTCCGTTGTTCCTCCAATAACAGAGAAGTGTGACTACATCAACATCTTTGGCACTTTCGACTGTCAAAAAGTGCTTTCATTCTGTCGAAGATACAAAATTGGAGTTCAGGCGATACTAATGGCGTCACAAGAAAGAGCTACACGACGTTTTATGAACATAACCAATGAAGTGCCAATCAGCGTGTACGCACCAACAGACACAAGACAAACAAAATTCGCAAATGAGGAATTGAAACGTCACAATTTCTATTGCTCGGCTGGAGCTAACTTCCCAGCAATCGTTGGCAAAGAAAGTATTATGGAAGATCTGAAAGAGTGCAATTTTAAGATGAAAGAGGCGCTAAAAACGTCTGATTGCTGCGTGCAAGTACTTTTGTCATGTAAACAAGTTGATGAAGAAACACTTGAATTTACACCAACAAAAGGAGCACCAAGTTTGTCAAAAAATGCGAGTCATTGCTTGCTCAAATATTGGGTATTACGAAAACATGAACGACCCGTATTTGGCTGTTAGATGTCAATGTGATATCAACGAGTTTTCAGTTGTGTTGGACTCGTGGCACTCAGAAAAGAATCTTCACACGTTTTTGTTTATCCCTGGTAAAATAAACCAAAAGTTTGTCAAGGAAATAAGAAGAGAGTTGGATGACGTTATGAAATTTGTGTGCGAAAATTAATTAATTTATTTTTGAATGATTATGGTTTGAAATTTAAAACAAAAAAGATGTTGTTTTAAATGCAATATAAATAACAATTTTAACATGTATTTATATAAAGTTTTATATTAAACATTTTATTTATTGTAATAACTATCCAAATAAACTTGATGCTTTAAAGTTGTTATTAGTTTAGAATGCTAACAATTGCAAAATCTTGAAACTTGTAATTATGTGTTATTATTGTTTAACACTCTCAAAAGATTTCAACATTTAAATTGATATTATATTTATAAAGTGAATATTATGTCATTATTGTGATGATAAAAAAAGAACACTAAACGTAATTATTATCGAATATCATTTTACTTTTTAAAATAGTTTGGAAATAATCAACCAAGAAAATAACGAACATAAATTTGATAAGACAAAATTAAACAAAATTTAATCATTTGATATAAGCAAGATAAACATAATGATGAATTAATAATGTTATTGTTCAATGACAATTAACACTTATTATTATAATATAAAAATTAATAAGAAAACACTTTGAGTAAAACAATTAAACAAAATGATACGTTTGTTAAAAACAACTATTAATTATAATCATATGATGTTGCATAAAATTTGTGTTATATATGTTATTTTAATATTTTCAATAAAAAATGAATTATTGATAAACCATGATTCCAAATTTGCTTGATAAATTTTCAACTCTTTTTAAACTTTGAGGAAAATGAATGATATCATATCCATGATATCTACGTAAACATTGTTTTGATAAATGACTTACACCCTCCGGTATTTCGCATATTTTCTGGTTATTTTCTATAACAATTCTTGTGTATTTTTTAAAATCACTTTCTACAAAATATATATTTTTGCATTGAACCCCATTTTTCAAAAACATTTGAAATACATCAAATGAGACTGTAAAGTCAATTTCATACACTTGTTCTCTTTCTAAGTATATTTCGTGTAACTTTTCTCAATTCAAAAAAGCTATTAGTGATAATTTTGGAACACTTTTAGGTAGATAAATCCGTTGTAAGTTGACGCAATTCAAAAATGTATAATTTCCAATATAAGTCACTGTTTTTGGCAAAGAAATTTCTTCCAAATTAATACAATTTGCAAAACACAAATCTTTGAGACATTCAACACGATTTCCTAGTATTATTTTTGATAACGATGAACGTTGTTCAAATGCTTCATTTTCAATTGAAGTCACGCAATTTGGCATTTCAAACTCTTTCAGAAGACAACAATTTGAAAACGTACATTTCGAATTTATGTTAACTCGACCAGTTTTAATGACTTGAACTGACGACAATGTCCGACAATTAAAAAAACACATCTCGACCTTCTAATACACTTTCTGGGAAAATTACACTTTTTAGTTTCAAACAATTGGCAAAAGCAAAATCTCCAACAGAAGTCACACTGTTTGGGATGTCTATATGTGTCAACCCACACCCCGAAAACGCGTGTACACCTATGATTTTTAGATGATCTGGGAGCTTCACGTTTTCAAGGGAAATGCATCCACTAAAACAGTAATAATCAATTTAAGTGAGAGATTGTGGCAAAGTAATTTCTTTCAATGTGAATTGATCTTGAAACACATATTCAAGTGCACACACGTTTACTGGTAAACAAATTGTATATAAATGCGATTCTCTGGTTGGAAATTTCACTTTTAATAGCATATTTGGAATGTTTTGAAATAGTTCAAGTTTGTCATAAGGCACTTCAACGTACGTGCAAGTCATTTTCAAATGTTTTAAAAAAGTCATTTCGTCTATACTGACCAAATTGGTTAATACAGTCTTGCCACAATAGTCAACATTTTTGAGCGATTTGCATCTCTTAAAAATGTGTTTGCCAATTTGAGTGAGAGTAGTTGGCATTGTCACTGAAATCAAATTATCACCAAAAAGGGAGTCTCCAATTTCAATAACATTTCCCAAGTCTATTTTTTCAAAATCAGTGTTAGAGAAAAAGTTACTATTTATTTTCGTGACATTCTGTGGAATTTTTATGTATTTTGGATCAGGAGAATTCCCCCACAATTGGCCTTTTATTTCAACAATTGTTTTGCATTTTTCAATTTCTTTAAATAGATACAATCGCTTACTTTGCCAAAAATCAAAAATAACTTTTTCATATGTATACCCAAACTTATCTAAGAGTTTTGTTTCGTATGAAGTTGGTACATATGTTATTTTCATGTTATTATTTGGAAGTACAAGTTTTGTTAAATATGAACACATTTCAAGGCACCCACTTTCTAGTGTTGCGTTTGGACTATGCTTATTTCTTTGAGTTGTCGAAAATCAGTAAAATAAATAGAAGTTATTGTTGTCACTTTATTAGTGTTAAATATAACGCAAGTGTTTTCAAATAAGTGATAATTGTACACATTGTCAACTGCTTCTTTTGTCACATATTCCTGGTAATTATTATAATGAACAAAATCATTAAAAATATGTATTGTTAATATGAAATTTCAATTTCGTGTTATTGTATTAATATGTTACTTTTATGCGTATTATTTTGAATAACTTCGATGATGAAATTATTAATATATATATATATATAATTTTTATGTACTAAAAACGGAACAACAAACAACATTTCCATATTCAAGAGTCTCACATTCGTTATTAATAAGAATATCAATATATTTGTGTATATCATATTTGTTATAAAACTTGCTGATGATATTTTCCTCCTGTTTTGACACTTCTCCAATAAGTTTTCCTTTCAATGTTGGAAGCACAAGTTTGGTTAAAAAAACACAATAAAAACACGTGTTAGAGCCAACATCATAATTTTCGCTAAAAACAAGTTCTTTCAATTTTCTACAATTAGAAAAAGCGTAACACCCAACTATATAAACACTTTTTGGTATATCAATGTGTTCCAAATTTCTACAATCATCGAAAACACCATTTTTTATTATTAGCAACTTTTTTGAGAGAACAACTTTGGTCAAGTTGTAACACTTTTCAAATGCTGAACACCCAATTATTTCAACATTATCAGAAATAACAACTTCTCTAAGTTGTGAACAATATTTGAATGTATCACTTTGAATAACATCCAGTTCTATTGGCGAAGTAAAATATTTTATTCCGCATCCAGAAAACGCACCACCACCAATTGAAGTAACTGTAGATAATAAGTCAATCGTTTTAAGCTCTTTGCAATTGTTAAAACAGTCTTGTGGAATACTTTTGATGCCTTCACACAAAGACACACTTTCAAAATATAATACATCTCTATTACACCATGGGCCCCAAATTTCAGTAAAATGTGATGTAAAAGAAAATTGTTTGAGTTTAAAAGTATTGATATACTCGATATCATATTGATTGATATATTTGTTTTGAAGAATCAGATTAAACTCTTCTATATTTGGGTTTGGGTCATCAACATTTATGGTGATTCGAATGTTCTTGTAAACGTATTTTAAATCATTCAATCTATTTTTTATGGTGTGATAGTTTGCAGTGTACCACACAACATATTTTTGCATTTCAAATACAGTAAAAAGCATCTATTTGTGGGTTTTATATTTGTGGGTTACGTCTATTTGTGGGTCAATGGACCAATCAAATGCAAAACCCACAAATAATTATTTTGCTCTCGAACCTTGAATTTAGGTACACTTAAATAAAAATTATAGTATTTTTATAATTAAAATACTCTAATATCATTAATATCTTTCATTTTTTATGTATAAAATAGTGAAAAGAATTTACTTCACAATTCCATGATAAACCCACAAATAAATATTTTTTCTCTGTTTGAAAACCCACAAATAGATGCTTTTTACTGTAGTTCTGTATCTTTTTCTGTGTATATATGTTGTGTCTCTATATACGGAAATAGTCTGTTAGAAGTCACCGAAATTGGGTTGTATCGAAATCTGTCTAATGTACATGCAAATTTCTTACAAATGAGGATAGAATTAATGAAATCGTCTTCAAATATAAATATTTTACAACAATTTGAAAGTTAGAAGCATCCAATGTAATATACATTTTTGGTGTTTAAAGATTCATTTAAAATTATCAAATAAATAATTAAATTTATTAATAATTATAAATAAAAATCATCCAATAGATTATAAAAAATCTATAAACCTTAAATTAACACCGTTTTTTTTTAAAAAAACACTTTTAAAACTATTGATTGAATTTTGCATATGAACTCAGGCGTCTCCAATTTTTGCTTTCCAGTATTTAGAGATCAAACTGGTATTTTTTTGTTTAATTTTGGCAAGAAAAAAATTATAGTCGTATAAATTAGTTTTTGGTATTATTTGGTTTATTTATTCCAAATTTGGTATTTTCAATTTTAATTCGGCAATAATAATTTTTGGTAAATTATAATAATAAACTAAAATGTTTTTAAATTGAGAAAAAAAATTTACAGTTAGCCGAATCAGCCTTCTGCAACGAAACAGCCTTCTGCAGATTGTTTTTCATAAATAACCATAAATAATAACAATGTAAACCATTTTTAATTGAATTTTTTTCAACTTCAAATGAATATATTTTTATCATAGTAATTTATTAATACACCTTCTGCAGTATATAATTGGTCTTATAAATACCAAAAAGTTAAAATAAAACCGAACTAAAAATGAACAGTACTCAGTTAACAAACTTTACTGTTTCATGAGTGATTGATATGTATTGATTAAAATCATTCAAGTTCAATTATGTCTTGTTCATATTGTAACTGATCCAATTCTTTTATTGTTAAAGGCCTTCTTATGTTATTTTCATCAAACAATGGCATATTTAATATTTCTTTATCAGTTTCACACAATGTTTGTTCAGTGATAACCGAAACTTGTGTTTCTTGGGTATTTGTTACAAACAAATTATTTACCGATTGGTTTAGAAAAGTCATTGATGTACTTTTTTCTGTTTCGATTGGTAACCACTGTGTTGATTCGAGTTTGTTGTATAATTCGGTCACTGTTCTTTCGTTTACATCTGTCGCTCTACACAATTCAATTTTGTTTTCAGGAGCTCTGAGTTTTTCCAAAACTTTTAATGGTGGAGATGAAATAAGAGTTTAAAAAAAACACTTGCGCTTTCAATGTTGACATAAACTCTTTTTCTTTCATTGTTGATGATACATTTATATCCAGCACGCAAAAATGACGCCTCTATTGTTTCTGGAACTGCTTTTTATAGATGGTTTCATTACTTTGTTTATCTGACAAGTAATAAGTGTTCCCCATTTGGCTCTTGAATCCTTTACCGCTCTTTTTGTTATCAAATCTTCTAATGAATTTATCCACGTTATTAAAGATTTTTCAAATTTGGATTGGTCTGAGATTGGTTGTTCGTCGCTTGTTCTTTGTTGTAAATCATATGAAATTTTATCTAAACACTGGGTTTTCAAATTGATTTGTTGAGTTGTTTGACAAGTAAACAGTGGTGTAGTCGTGTTTGAGCATTTTTTAACAACACCAAATAAACACAAATTAAGTGGTTGTGATAAATGATTACTATGAGGGACTATAAAATGCAATATTATGTTGTGTGATACAAACAATGATTTTAATCTTTCATCAATATGTGCAGAACAATTATCTAATATAATAACCGCTTTCACATCACTAGTTAAACCAACTTCAGACCTTCTCTTTACAATGTAACCCAAAACGCGTTCAATCATCCAAGTTTGAAAATGTGTTTGTTAACGAAACCACTTGGATTTGAATAAACTGTCAAATCTGTAAAACTCAATGATACTGAATTACTAAAATGTTTGTTAGGAATCACCATTCCAGGAGTGACAAATTTACCGTCAGCTGATATGCAAGCTATTACAGTTGATCTTTTGCAATTTCTTGATATTCCAACTTTATGTACAACTTTGGTTTTGTCGGTAAACACTCTAACTTTTTTACTGTCGGAGTATTCATTGAAACCTATTTCGTCGATGTTAAAAACTAATTCAAATGGTGTTCCATTGAAGTTTTCAGCAAATGTTATATAATTGTCTAACACATCTTGTGGTTTGCATTCAACACTTTCCAGTTCGTCCGGATTAACAACAACAGTTGTTTTATTGTGGTATTTTGCAACATGTTTCACAATTCCGTCAATTGTCATATTGAATGTTGGTTCAAATTGTTCACAAATTGAATGAATGAAATATGGAGTTACTGCTTTGAGTTTCTCTGACAATATTTAAACACTTCACTGATTGCTACATTCATTTCGAAAGTAAAATTTATGTGTTTTTTTGGTTCAATTGCAGATTGTTTTAAGTGTGTGTGAATGGATTTTCCTGTTAATCCAAACAAAATACCCAATGTTGCCTCGC